ATATATCATCCAAGATTCAAGGTCATTAACTGACCAGATAGGTCAGGCATGCAATATCATGCCAACCTGTGTACACCACGTTACTATACCTTCTTCATAGCTGTGTAATGTGAGGATCATATATGAGCGATATTTCTCCATATGATAAACTAACTGGAGACTGAGATTTAGGTAGAAAAATTGACATTCTTGTGATGATTTCGATGAAACTCAAACCAGCATACATATCAAGGAAGACTTCCTTACTGAGCAACTACCCAGGTAAAATTATAAGGAAAAAGAATTGAACTGGAGTCAACTCATCAGAAAGTTTCATCATATATAAACCAATAACTCATATCTGAGGAGATCCGAACACACACGTAAGTGGATTAAGTTATGAACCAAACTATAATTTGAATTATAATGATGTAATATCTGACATTCCAAACCAAAAGAGATGAAGTTTCATTAGAAACGTGTAAAAATCAACTAAACTACCTGATCGAAGAGGTAACAACTTTACAATTTATGATTTTCATACACACACGTCCAGTCACACACCACATTTCAATGAGAAGAACTAAACCAAGTTGACCAAATCGACAATTTTAGAGACACCTTAACCAAAAATGTAGACATATTCAACTAAACGTGACCATAAAGTCATAATAATCAAGATAAAATCGACTAGATGTGAAGTTAATGTGAAGCTGGAAGGATATTCATAATTAATCACATTACAAACATTAGCAATCTGACTGACTGACAAAATAAACGCAGAACCGCGCAAACAGCCGAATCGGATTAAGTTGCCACATTTCACATTAGTACACAAACAACAGGTGGATAGAACAAGAGTGAGAGAGAGTAGAGAGAGAGAGAATAAACAATTTGGAGATAAACAATACTGCGAATATTCAAGCTTTAGATGTCAAGAAGTGAATACAACTGCGCCATGGCCATAGATTTTCCGCCATGTCACCAAGAATTCACAACCAATAATTCCTATCGTCTCGGGACCCAAACAGACAGTCTACATCTCCCACAACAATCAAGTAATTCATCAACTGCTGCCACGTCTTGGACCGGTCACCCTGAACCCTCCTTCAACCTAATACAACTTTCCCCCGACCAAGCACGTCGAAGTAGGCGGTAGCTCGGAGTGTGCAGTATATGCCCTAGCAACCTAAGTCGACTGAAGTTTACAACCTTATCAATTAGGTTGCCTGTCTTTCTTAGTACCCTTGCTCTGACCATGGGACACGATGAAACTGGGTTCGATCAGGGATGGATTTATGGTTACGCACTGCTGAAGTGTCCCATCTTCGCATAAAACACCTGTTCACTGCTCCTATGTCTTCAATAATTCTCCAAATCATCTCATCATGTAATCAATGTATTCATGACACGAAAATAACCTCAACAATACTATGTTCCACAAAATACTCACGTTTCATCATATTAATGGCAACAGCTCCGACGATGCAAACAATACGCAGGCATACAGTATAGAAAGGTTGCTTTTCATCCTCGTAAACCACTTGCAGAGAAGATCTTCTTCAAGTACAGTAACATATCTTCACGGTTCACCTTCAAACACAAACAACAGAAAACTCTACACGTTTCTCACTCTACAGATTAGAGATTAGAGATTTTTCACTCATATTTGTTCTCCTTCACGCAAATTCATCTGCTATCATATCACCGGCCTCTAAGGCCCAACGAAAAACTAATTCACCATATATCCACACACAGACACAATCAACGTAGAACCTCTCACACACACACATACACGCACACACAAGCGCATCGGTTCAACTTACCACACTCCACACTTGGACACAAACAAAAGGTGGATGGAAAAAGAGGGATATCAAAGTAGACAGATTTGTGGGAGACAATAAACAGTTTGAGGACAACGGTTAGTGCCAATATTCAGGTCTGGATGTCAAGCAGTGAATACATCCACTTCATTGTGACTGATTCCCACCCATCCCATCATGGGTCATCAACCACTGATTACTCTTGTCTCACGGACTCCAAGCAGGCAGTCTACATCCCCCTGCACCACTTGACTAACAACAAGAGGTAACCAGCGTGTGCCATGTCCTGTTCTGACCATCCTCAACCCTCTCCCAACCTACTTACTCCAACTTTGTCCAGCCTAGTGTGGCACGTCCAGGTAGGTGGTCACTCGGCATGTGCAGTACACATCCAAGTCATCTTAATCGACTCATGTTCACAACCTAATCAATCCAGTTGCCTACTACCATTCCTCTGACTTCAAAATTTCACACGTGGTGATCCCACCAAACGTGAGCATTGCAACAGACACCAATGATCATAACCCTGTGATCGCTTAATATCATCTACTTTCAACGACCGTGACTCATAGCTATACAACAGGACAGAATGGAGTACAGCGCAGTATACTTTTTCTTTAGTAGATAGCCGGATATTCCACCGACACCCTAAGTGACGTAAAATACAAATACCAAACAGGTCTTCAGTATCCGAACTGCGGTTTCATCCGTAAGTAATCCGTTCAGAGCTGCGCAACTCCCCAAGCAACTAAAACGTTCGATACATTCAACTACTTCACTCCCTATCATTAAACTGGGATTGGTTGCAGACGTTTCCCGGAGCATCATCTTATATTTCACAGGTGCCAGTGAAACTCATGCCAGCTTAAGTTACTCAGATCTCTGCTCAACGCGTGCACAAAATCATGAAGTGCGTCAGCGTCTTCACTCAGCAGTACAATATCGTCAGCCAGATGACCTCCAGGGAGTATGTCAGTCCCTGTGAAGTCAGACGTCAGGTTATGTCCATCAGTATATGAACGACGAAGTTTAATGAGAATAGTGACAGTGGGTATCCTTGGTGAACACCACCAGTTGTCGTCAATTCATATAGCAACGCCACAAGCCCCTACATGACTGCATGAGTTTGAGTAGAGAGCTATGATTAGCATTATATAATTCCTCGGAACCCCTTCCACAGTCAGACACTGTCCCATCACCTATTGGTCGACAGAGTCAAATGCAGCCATCAGGTTAAGTCGAGAAATTCGGCACGTGTCTGTTGCAAGTAGGTATGCCTGTGTTCAAGAACCTCTCGGAGGGTGAAAATCTGATCGATGCACGCTCATCAAGGTCCGAAACCTGCATCCTGTTCTCAAGCTCCACTTAGACGTCGGACCCCGGATATAATATTAGCCAAACTGATCCCTCTATAGTTGTTACAAGATTTTTCTCCCTTCTCATAAACTGGGATGACCAGTGAAGTAGACCAGTCTGATGCCACTACGTTTGATCCGCATACACTTTCGCTCTTCATCGTGGTCAAAGGAAGCCAGCTGGAATCAGTCTTCTCGCATCAGTCAGTCCGGATGATGCCGCGGAAATCCAGTGACGTTTGCTAACCTTCAGATGTACGTTAGTAACTGCTTTTACCGCTGTTTCTGCGGCAGACTTAATAACACGGCACGTTTCCTCAGGATTAACATTGCTGTCATGTTCAGATAAATGCCTAGTTATCTCTTCACTAAATGGGTACGTGATGTTCCGATCTTCCAATCGACCATTGCCTGCTACAGTAACGCACATACATACGCGTGATCTGAGTCCAAACTGGTTATCCAGAGTGAGCGGCGATCCTCCATCGGTGGCTGATAGCAATATAATCTGTGTCCATCATTGGTTTGAAGTCGGTGGAATCTGTGTCAGACAGTGTCTTTCCTTAAGCCTCAAGTTAGTGCTGGCCACAAACAAGTGATTGTTGAAACAAATTGCAACAGACGATCACCGTCGTCGGTTCACCGGCATGAGATTTCGTCAATACTCCCAAGATGCCTTTCTAATTGACTCAGTTTCTTTACTTGAGCGTTAGAGTCACCTGCATTATGACTACATCTGATCGTTTTGCTTTCTGTAGCAAAGTTGACAGCTTCTCATAGAATTCATCCTTTGTATCATCCAAACTGCAGTCGGTAGGTGCGTAGGCGGAGATTACGAATTGCCTCACGATTCTTCCTAGTCTTTACAGATCAATTCAGTCGAAGAGTACATAGAAGGCTGATTACCGCTATTCGGTCAAAAGGCAGACTTTCTGCCCTACAACTCAATCCTATCCCTATACCGGAAAGTTTATGTGAGCTAGCCATTGGGGTCTCCAGATACTTGTAAGGTGAATTTTGAGGATTGACTACTATGGTCAGGTGAGGTCAATTTAATGACCACACTCGAGTCTCACAGACAGCATTCATCCATGACTCGAGATTCTAGAGTTCTGAAGAGCGATGCTTACTGTCCAATTCGGTATTGAGTTAGAAATCGATGGTGTCTTAGGAGACTAGGAATGAGGCTCTGATCGTTCGCAATGGTCGCCGAATGAGAGATCGAGTAAGGCACAAGAGGTTTAATGTTAGTGTCAAAAGGTGAAAGCAAAGGAGGAGACAGAATTGAGGAAGATAGGTTATGTTTGATTGGGTTTTGTGTACTACTGTAAGCGGTTGACAGTTCCCGGCTGCTCATATGGTGGAAGACTATTTCTTCTTAAGGTTTTTGAAAGAGAAAAAGATTTGTGCAACCTCAGACCCTATGGAACAGCTCCTTGAGATCAGTCATACACCGTCTTTTGTTAGTTGTTGTTTTGAGGGCCGACCTTTACTACCCGCGCCGTCCTACTGGGAAGGCAGAATCAATGTAGCCCTGCTGGTCATCCAAGGGAAACACCTTACTGCTGTCACACGCCATCCAGAGGGCAGCAGTACGACTTAAGCCTCAGACCTCCTTCATTGTTTAGTAATTCATACTACAACGACAACTGCTTTTTGTCTTACCACTATCCCATCCAACAGACCTCTCTGGTATGGTAAGGCCTCGAGAGAACAAGGGTTCCACCAACATAACTCTTTGGGTCATTGTGATATATAACCCCAGTCACCGCGTTAAGTAAGCAGCTATCGGTCGGGGAATCTCATTCAAGAAGTAAACTACACAAACATAAGACTTAAGTCCTTGATAAAAAGATGAAGTACTTTATTTCATTTCTGTCAACATCTTTTTGACTTCATAATATAAAAACACAATTTGAAAATTTAGTTTACACGCTCATTAGTTGTATTCTGAGGAAATACTATGATAAAGCAGAACATAACAGACAAAAATTAAGAAATTAAAAATGGTATGCATTTCAATACAACAACTAATTGTGCAGCAATGAAACAATGAAAAACAATCAGACTAGCCAATTCGGTTACTGAAAAAGAAGAAAGCGAAAGAAATCTGGGGGCTGAGGGGAGGGGGACTTCACAGACTATGCTTTCAGTTGAGCAGATTTAGTTCTGAGCATAGCACGAATAGCGCGAGCTCGCATTTCTAGTTCAGTAATTTCTTGATGAACTAAATCCTGTAGTGTGTCGAAAAGAAAAGAGGAGAAAAGGAAGATATATATATAAATATGTATATAAATAGTGTAAGCTATTTCGAATGATAATGCCTTGAAAAAATCGTTCTCCAGTGATAGACGCACCACATGAGCAATGTTACGGCTAGACATATAATTTTAGCTAACCAGGATACATGGGTTGAAGAATCTGGGAATTTGTGTTGATTGGCGCGTAATATGCTGCCTGATTGTTATTGATTGAGACAGTAGGAAGGAAGACAAATAACAAGCAAAACTCCACCAAACGATGAAGTCGAGGAGAGCTTGTTCAAGTCCTGTGGAGGCGTAAAAAATCACATGAAACTTTTCGGAATCGAAATCAGTGTGGTTAACAGGCTTCTTTTAAGGTACTCTCTATGTTGATTACTCAACTCATGAACTCTTTTTTGCCACACCTCATCCGAACTGCAGTCAGTGGGTGCGTAAGTGGAGATTACAAAGAGACAACGGTGAGTTTCACTGTTCCTTTTAGTTCTCATTGTGCCGTTCAACCAGGCAGCAGACAGGCGACTGTCAACTAAAATCCAGTCTAGTAGTGAGCTTGCTAACTTAGTGCTTAATGCTATGCCTACACCAGCAAGACCGTGAGAACTGGTCATCGAATCTCAAGAAGTTCCGAGGGTAAATCTTGCGGATTTACTACACTGACCGTGAGAGGTTAGGTGAATAACTGCACTTGGGTCCTGTATGCGTGTCTCACAAAAACAGCACACATCCACGACCCGAGTTGCTAAGGTTTTGACCAATGAAGTTTGTTGGCCAATTAGACGGAGGCTTTGGACATCGGAAGCTTCAATATGTAATTTGGAGTGTGGTTTAAGGAGACCAGTAATGCTGTTCTGTGGACTCATATAGTTGTCATAAGTTTCAGAGCTAGAAGAAATTAAAGATGATGTAAGATTGTTAACTGAGAAACGTGAAGAAAGATTAGAAGGTAAGGATGAGGGAAGGTAGATAGTGGTCTGAGGGAACTAGAATGCTCACAGAGTTGTGAGGAGGTTTGAAACTTCCCGGTTGCCCACACCGTGGAAAGCTAGGTCTTCTTGAGGAACCTGAAAAAGGAAGATTACTGCGTGACCATACAGCTCAGGGGACATCTGCTTTTAACGCCTGTATTATGGAAGGTGTAATCAGATATACGTCCTTTCGTTTCGGATCACCACTAACTACTGATAACTGATCTAAGCCATTATGACGCATCATTTCATTGTTTAAGAAAATGTTAAGGGCAAGGGTAATTGCTTTTTGTCTCATCACTATCCAACAGACCTTTATGATATGGTACGAACAAGCGTTCCACCAGCACAGCGCTTGTTGGGTCATGGTGATATACAAGCCCCACCACCACGTCATGGTAGCAGCTATCGGTCAGAAATGATATCAGATACCTAACCAGTTATCATGATATGAATGTACAATATAGCTAGCTGTCTAACATAGTATTTATATTGTTACCGATAAAAGCACAACTTTTAATAACAGTTTACTGGAATCCCCATCTGATCATACATTTCGCTTACATAAATAGAACAGATGACTTAGGCTGAAATATAGCCTTGTTAGTAGTAGTGATAGTAATTGAAGCAGTGATCTCCAGATCAGCGAGTTAATGATTTTTTTTTTCAATTAGGCTAGTAGTGCAACTATGGTGATCAAATATTTACTTTGCTTCACACACACACACTTCAAAGATAAAAACCGAATCCTATAGGGCATGGTCAGATGATATACTGTTGAGTCACTAACGCATGATCTTTATTATTTTCAATTTTTCATACTTGTAACCAACTAACATCTTTACCTAACTGGTCTGTCAAAATAATAATTGTAAAATCAGTCATTCAGATGGGTCACGGGTTCCAACACTGCTCTAACAGCCGAGGTTTGGGTAACCAGTTAGTTAGCATCATTAACCCTCTCTCTCTCACACACACAAACACACACAACATGTATGGCTCACTGCCTACTCCATGAATGTTCATAAAGTTGCGGAGTCCATTTCGATTCAATTCGAAACATACATCAGTCGGTTAAGTGATCTAATCTGACACTACACTGAATTCGATCTTCACTGCCTCTTTAAATTAAATACATTGACTGTTGATCTAAACAGTGTAGAAAGATACAGGCTGTCTCCCTGTAGTCGAGATGATAAGAATCAATGGTTGGAAAGACTTCATGATATGACTCAAAATCAATCACAATGGTGCAAATGTATTCATTCTCTGTCATCTTTGAAGTTCTGCACAATTTCACTAACATTCATTCATTTATTCTCTCTCTCGTTTCATATACTTTTGTTCCATTTTACGCCATTCACTTTCCAATCACTTTTTCTTTACATGCTGCTCTTAAACTATGGTAACATGAACTGATAAACTTTCTATACCAGATCTCGTGCTGATGTTGCTACCAATACATACTATACTAACTAAATAAGGTAGTCAAATTTTACAACAAAACAAGAACTTTTCGAAAGAAACAAACATTAATTAAATGTGATAGACCAGAGCATAGATCAAAACATTTTTGATAAAGTTGTTTTCTAGAATAAATTCTAAAATTCATTATTGTAATTTAGTTAATGGTAGCTGGCAGTGGAATCCAGGATGCATGTTTCATTCTCTTTAGGATGCATCAGGTGGTGTACCTGTATCTTACACGTGATACCTGTCGCACAAATGGTGGCTCTTGTACCCAAGTGGGTAACGCCTTGGCGTTTGTAGCTATGGGTACTGCGTTCGGGTCCCAGTGAGAACAACTACTCACTGGAGTGCAGGTACATCCAACTGATGAATCCCAAATAGGACGAAATGCGCTCCCTGAATTCCAATGTATTGACGTATTTAAGAAACAGATGGAATGATTTGACTTACCCTTACTTCTTGCTAGGTAGAAAAGCAGATGACTTTTACAAATAAAATGTTAAACAGACTATATGCATTTTTATGTGTCAGTGACAACTATTTTAACAGGCAACAAAAAAATACACTGAGGCTTGTCGATTTTCATAGACCAACACTTACAAGGTAGGCGGTGTAAATGGCAACAATAGCGAGTAAAACGCTTCCATTGTAGACAAACAAATTAGAACATTTTAGTGATCACAGTTAAACCGATGCATTTATTCCTTTATTTTGGCATCAGTGACATACTTTTTTCTCTCTGTATTCGATTCTCTGAGCTAGATAGTTAAACAAATAAGGCTCTAGTTTCGTTTGATTGTTGTGCCATGAATGCATCGACTTCAATTATTGACCATTTTCCTCTAGCTAGCCTCTCACCTTACAGTTGTTGATCATTTTTCGCATTGATCGATAGATTCAATGTATGTCGATGCATTTTTATTCACTGTTGACTGAACTGAGTGCCAAGCATATAGAAATTCTCTGATATTCTTTGTGCTTCATCTGTTCAATAAGTTTATAGTCACTAGTTGTTAACGTGTAATGATATCAGAGACGAAATGTCGTGACATTTAATAGCCAATCGGTGTTCATGTAAACAAAGGTGAAGAGGGCGATCACTTTCTCTAATCCAGTGCTAACTGGAACTGCTGAAGTTGATTTTGTTACTAATATTTAGTTTGTCTTCTTTGATGCGGCTGGCTTTTCCCAACTTGTGCCACCTGAGGCACCGTCGTGATATCCGATTGTCTATTAACGGTCGCGTGTACTGCACAGCAGTCCGCTTTGTTCTGCTGTATGGCTGTGAAACATCGCCATCGAAGGTGGACGACATGAGAAGGCTTCAGGTGTTTGACCACCGTTGCCTTCGTAGTATAGGCCGTATTCCGTGGTATCACCACATGAGTAATGCAGAAGTCAGGTGTAGAGTTTTAGAGAGAAGAGGTAAATCAGTTGACACGGTTTTGAACTTTCACCGACTGAGATGGCTGGCTCCGACATGTGTTATGTATGCCTAGTCGCCGTCTACCTCGTCACACAATGTTGGTTCAGACCGGAAAAAGGCCTGAGGCGGCCAGACTGAAACATGACATCAATGTTTGAAGTCTTTGACTGTTGGTTTGAGCCATGTCGAGCGATGCAGACTAGCCGGTTGGGGCCGGCGGGAAAAGAGAAACCAGTGGTTGAAGACTGTAGATGATATGGCTTAGAACCCATGCCAGTGGTAAAGACGTATACACACATCATCCTCCTCTTAACGCTATACGGAATCTCACCATTTTCACACTTTTCCCTTCTCTCTTTTAGTACTTTATATTTCTTCTGACTGAATTTTCTTTTCATCTTCCACTTCAATGCCTTTTTACTTGATTTACTGATATGAGCCGTGGCAACTTGGACAGTTACGCAGTAATGCCTGGTCCTATGTTGATAGATGATGATGGTCTGGTAGCCTTGTTGTCACCTCTATATGTATGTTAGAATGACCCCTCATTGATATATTTGTTCCTTTCAGGATTTTACGTGTAATGTTCGCTCATTTTCACAGTTACATGTCTAATAATTTCTGTAATTCTGAAAGTAGCAATCATTTTAATCAGCTAATGGACGTGTCAGCTTGATTCAATATATAACTTGAGCACTGATAATAAGCATGGAGTAAAATCTCAACCGCCACATTCAGTTTTATGCATGAAGCAATGATTCATACTTATTGTATGAGAGTTTAAAATATATCACTTGACCCATAGACTGGAATAAGGGGTTCGAACTCCCGACCTATTGGTCACGTTCACTAGTCAGTATGGTTTATTTGCATTCCATGTATACTTATTCTATATTCAACAACGGAATTATCATTATCTGCATAGATAGATAGATTTAGATAGATTCAGTAAAACAGAGATGATGATCATCTGTAAAACCTGTGGTTATAATTATTATTTACTAAATGCCAGTAATAAAAGGCATACTATTCTATCTGTTCAATGTTTTTAACTGCATGATGTAATTCAGCAACGTGGAGTTCTGTACATTTGATAATCATTCACATTTATGGTATGAGGTCTAATTATGCAAAGTCACCGTATTAGGTGCAGTAGAGTTTGAAACTGTAATCAGCTGATTGAAAATTGAGCAGTTATACGAATGAACCGAAGCTCTATACCTGTTCCATTGTACAATTGTAAAGATACACACATACAGATATATAACCTACCAGTCTTGTTAAATACGACAATACACTAAAAATACTGATAAGAAAGCCATCTTCTTCAATTAATACGAAGGTATAAATGAGATTATATCTAAATTCTTAAGAATCGAACGTCTATCACGGATAACAGCAATGGATACTTCGACCACAAGATAGCCGCCACTGTCACCTCCTGACACAACTTGAGTAAAAGGCATCAGCACTTAACATCTTAATCTAGTTCGTGAAGTGGGGCCGTTTTATTCTACATTGAGGTGGAGAAAGACACACAGACAGGTAGACAAAATCAACGTAGAACCTCGCAAACAGCTAGATTGTATCAACTTGCCACATTTCAAAGAACAGATGGATAGAACAAGAGTGACATCAAAGGAGAGGAAGTTGTGTGAGAGAACAAACAATATGAAGATAAAGGTTAGTGCAAACACCCAAAGAGTTAATTCATGTGCCCCACTGAGACTGATTTCCAGCCATGTCACTAGGAGTCCTAAACTAGTGATTCCTGTCGTCTTGATCACTGTAGTCTAGATCTCCCTATAAGGCTTAGATCAACAGTTAAGGACTTTATCGACTGGTCCCACATCTTGGTCTCGCCAACCTGAACCATCATCTTCCAACCAAATTCAACTTCCCCTATCAAGATAGGGCAATGGATTGGCATACGCAGTATCTGTTCAATCCTTCTCACACGATGAATATTCACAACCTCATCAATTGACTTGCATGTCTTGCCTAGAGATGGAGAAATACTTTCATATTCATTCAAGGTTATACAGATTTTTTTCGCACAGCTTGATCTCTGATAATTAGAGGTAAATATTTTGGATGTTATACAGATGGAATCAATTAGGAGGTAAACACCCTTTGAATATATTAGTTTCGTACAAGTAAGTATCCACCGATAATGACTACCTACAACCATAAAGAAGTTTGCAGTCTCTCAAAGACTCACGCTGATATCGTTCATCAGCTGAGTTATAGACTTTACAACTGAGATATCTGGATGAAAACTGAATCATGTATACTGGTAGATTATTGGAGAAGAATAAATCTTAATGTTAACTGAATTCCCAATAGACATGTCCAAAATATGATGACTAAATGGGATGTTTTTTTCAGAGACAAAAACATACAACACAAATTCTAAGTATACTAGAAGTGAATGAGGAAGAAAAGGTACTGGATCTCACTTTTTCAACTAGCGAACACTTTCACTTAGTGGATTATGGACTTTTAATTAGACTACTATTCCTAATTGCGGCTTATAGATCCAAAAATGGTTATCCAGTTTAGCACAGATAAATAGATAATATCGAAATTTCACACCGAAAACATACTACTAAATCATTTGGATTTGAAATACATGTCTCTTCGGTTGGTGGGTGTTTTTCTTCCTTCTGAAGATCTTCATCATCTGCAGATGACCAGGAAGTTGCTGATAGTTCTAGATTTTCTTGGATCTTATCACCGTCGCTGACACGATCAGCGACAGCAGTAGCAGCATTGACCTTTTGTCTCTCAAGGACCTAATGAGAAAGATATTGAAAAAAGAAGTTTACTTGTTAAGTACATTAAATATAATCATCAGACCAATGAAGATTATTACGAGAATCTTACTAAATACTTATAATGTCTAGTGAGTACATCTGTTGGAACATTTACATCTTGGGCTAAAAGATATTCCCGCTATTCGATACTAATGCCTAGACACAATAAGAGCAAAGCAACGATAACATTGAGCGATGGTCGCACTATGTCGTGAACTGACACAAGTTGGAAATATAGATCAATAGGTTTCAACCCAGTGGGTTCAATGGTAACGTGCTGGCCACGCAAACTGAAGGTCCTGAGTTATATCCCTGGCAGGGCGGGGTCATGGGTGCTCTCTGCTGAGGAGTTCCATACTAGGACGAAATACCCGTTCAATCCTCCCAGATCTTCAATATTCTTCCAACTGATGTCAGTCCATGATGAATAACAAATTGAAATCCATAAAAATCTCCACAGACTGCCCCAAATTGAATGAATAATTAATTTCCTCTTAGTGCAATAAGCGGTAATGAGAACCATCGATCAACAAAAGAAATGTATTAGGCAGGCTCTGATTAAAGGTTATCTACCTCGAAATAGTCATTTTATCTACCAACTTTACATGATTTCGGTACTGGGAGATGTTGAAAACAAGAGTATGTTATAGGCTAACCATTTTCGTATTGCCCAACTATTCCAAGTGATTTACAATGACGTCACTCATAGAATAGCAACTTGTATCATAAATACACCCTCCCTCACTGCAAGACCTCAGAATAATGTACACAGTGTAGCCTAAGGAGATGAACAATTCTTCATATCCAGCTGTCATAGTATACACAGAGATGTCCAACGTTTTCAGACCAAAGTCAGTTTTAACAGACAGAAAAAATCTGATTGCATCGATATCTTGTTACAGACTAGTGGTATGATGGAGCTATATTTTATTCAGAATGGTGTATACTCTTTTGCCCTTAGCTAAATAAAGATTGATTTTATCCATTACATTAGATTACTTGCTCGTAACTATACTACACAGATAGATATTCAGGGCATTCAGAACAAAGTATTCAACGAATTCACGTGAAGTCTATTTCAAGTGCTGTTTAGTGAAAGTCTTCAACAGTCAGGTCTGGTGCATTCAAAAACTTATTCAACAGATTTACAGAGGTCGAGCAATTCGGTTTCGCATAGCAACGGGAAACTATGAGTAATCTAACAATAACTAACATCCGTTCCACAAGAGGCGGCTATTATGGATAACGCTCTGGTGTTTGAAGCGAAGAGTACTTGGTTGGAACCTCGGTGGGAACAAAATCACTCGCTGGGATGCAGGTACATCCGGCTGACAAGTCGTAAATAGGACGAAACGCGTGTCCTGGATTCCTCTGCCAGCCACCAAGATCAATATGACTTACATTTTTACCTTTACAGGAAATAACAACAGTTAAACAACCTTGTAAAGTAGTAATATTTAAGTAAGTTTGATCATTGAGATTTCCATTACTAAAATTCTACACCTAAAAACAGTAAAGACTCAATTTATGTATCTCTTATTCTAAAATTTACATTAAACTTCGGGGAATACTCATCCGACATATATTCAAGAGATTTAAATGAAGCCTTAAATATTGTCCATGATTAGCTTGTTCATTTTATCTACCATCACCGATTACGTCTCTACATCAAAAAGAGAATCTCGTAGCAAGCGACTGATCACTGATGAGTTGATTTCAGGTTCCAATGGGAAGTAGTGACCGGTGGGGCCAACCAAGTCGAACATGAGGACAGTTACTCAACGACGGGACTGGATGGACATCTCACTATATCGTGAAATGATAGGTAGGGAATATGAATAGTTGGATTCCGACCCAGTAGCTCAATGGTAACATGCTGGCCACGGAACCCGAAGGTCCTGGGTTTGACCCGGGTGGGGTGATGGATGCACACTGCTGAAGCGTCTCATACTATGACAAAACACCTGTCCAGTGCTCCCAGATTTCCGATGTTCTTCCAACTGATCTCAGTTCATGACGAATACCAACCTCAAAACTGATGAACTGAATTACGGGAGGGGGAATGGCTCCAAAAATGACTTGATGCAATAAAGCGTAAAGGAAGATAGTGGATATACAGAACTATCGTCAATCGCTGCGGTGTCCATGGATTAAAACTCGTTGAGTGCTGTCAGATGACTGTAATAAGTAAAGAATATAACCTCTACTCTCGTTATTCCAGGCATCAGCATAAAAAATAATGAAAATATAATCTAGATAGACGTGCCAATGTACACGGAGTCGGAATCGAAATGCACTCACAGCCACCTTATGCACATTTGTGCAGTAGTGGGCAATGAGCCACACCTATTGTATGAGAGCTAGTAATACTACTACTCGGCTGCCCATACCTCCGTAGGTGGGGCGGGGTTCGAACCCAGCTATAAACCAACGAGCCACAGGTTCTACTGTACACTTAGACAGATATTAGAATAATACACCGACAATCTGTCATAACCTTATGACAACAGTCTACTGCCCCACTTCCTCCTCACTAAAAGCTACATTGCACAACGTCCTATCATAAGACACCACAACATCTTCCACCAACTTGTTACAACCACTACCCAATTATGTAACAATGAAATTGTAAACAGGTGAACTATAATACACAACAAAATACAAATCTTCTGAAGATCACAGTTGCTCATCTAATTCACAATAATGTCTTCATGTATTGAAAAGTGGAAATAGTTTGAGATGTCTTATCGAAGCGTACAAACAAAGCATGATCTATCTGGGTCATATGGTTTAATTAAACAAGTATTACATCATTATTCAATGAGTTACAACAAACGATCTGGTGATGAATCTTTCGAAAATCATCAACACTATTGATTCAATGCAATTGTATAGGGTTAAAATACACTTTTTATTACCATTAACCAGTCAAGTTGATTTATACAGAAACAAGTATACACATAAAGGGGAACGAAGGTAAGTAGGTGTGAAAGAAAAAAAAAGAAAAGCATAGAATAGCAATAAGAAAATATGACCATGTTAACTTTAAAAACATCCATCTAAACTGCTTTAAATTAAAAAATTCCTTGAATCTGTTCGAATAAGTCGTAGAGGAAAAGCAAGTAGTAGACGTCGATAGGTAAAAAGCGCTTAAGCAGAGTTTCATGCTTATTGACAATCGTTAAACAAAGATGGGTCCTAATGTTATGATGCCTGTTATTTCCCGTTTCTATACAGAGCTGAATTTTTCGAACCCTGTTGGCAGATGGGCTTCTGTGCACAAGAGGTGGCTATCGTGACCCAGTAGCTTAGTGGATAACGATAACGCTCTAGCGTTCGAAGCGAAGGATACTGGGTTCGAGCCTCAGTAGGAACATCACTCACAGAAGTCCAGGTACATCCAGCTGACGAGTCCTAAATAGGATGAAATGTGCGTCCTGGATTCCTCTACTAGTCATCGGAATCGATATAAGCTGGATCTTAAACCTGTAGTCATGACCACAGACCACTATACACTTAGTGCTACTGATAAGCTTTTTACCTCACTAACTGATTAGTCTCCCTTTAATTGTATGAAAGTATGTTGAATTTGATTGGTTGATTTGTTACCTTCATGCTTCTTAGTGGATGGAGCTAGGACTATGTGATCGGTTGATTTCTCTCATCTGATTAAAGTTCATTGGAGTCATAATTTACTGTGGTTGGTTTTTCTTTCTAGTTCTAATGTTCACATTGATCTAATTGGCTGATGTGGTGTAATATAACCCTAACTTAATTGGTTGAATCGTCCCATTTGGAGTGGAATGATTTATCCTGACCTTTTCGTTTATTGCAACTGAAAGAAAGTCTATGCTGAATGATAACCTCGCACCGACTAACTGATGATTCACTAACCATGCGATAATTAACGAAGTAACGTGCATCAATCAAGTAAAACTTTCCAGTTAATCAGAACGATAAGACCTTCATCAGTTCGTCCAAACAAGAAAAGGAGACCGACCACAGCAAGATAACTCCAACAAACTTCAACCAAACGCGCAAAACAAAAGAATCAAGTTACCATGACCTCCTCCGTGAGGTATAGAGATGAAAAATCAAGCAATCCAACTCGTCACACTTCTACACAGTCGCAGGTTAACCAGTCAGGTAGGGTTCAGGTACAGTTAGTAGCAGTAAACGCACATGCGTAATAAAACAACTTTATTCCATCATGAAGTTCGTAATGACTATGATATCTGCTATGACACTGAAACATTTGATTAAAAGAACAAGCACTTCAAGGAATACTCTTTTCGGTGACTTCAGTCCCTAAGCTATAAAATCGACTGCACACCCTCCAGAACGAATTCGTCGGAAAGAGTCTCTTTGCTGAAATAGTCTTTTCGTATTCTCATAAGCATCATCTGCAAACAAGGAACAGTTGAACAAAAGTAGGAAGATAAAAATACAGATAAGAGATATGTATGGAGGAGAGAACCAAATATATGCTAAGTGTTCAACATTTAGAGGAAGACGAAGAGTGAACCGGTCTGAATCACTGTAGTCAATTTTTAGACATCCCACCTAGGACGTTCAAAAACTGATTTGGAGCACAATTAGGACCACTACCAAGAAGTTTACACTTCCCAGAATAGTCCAGATCAACAGTTACCAACTTTATTGAGTGGTAGGGTCTGAACACAAACCTCTCTCATTAATCGACCTAAATTACTTGAAAATCTAGGCTCAATCTCAAAATTATTCACTGGGTGGTTTCGCAAGACACAAACAATTCACCAAAGACATTTATAGTGGAATACTTGTTAGGGATCTTGTGCTTTCTATCTCCAGAAACTGTTATCATCACAGATTAGGACAGTAAACTACTGTACAGCATAATAGCCATTTACCAAAGGCAGTCATTATATATCGCATCTGCGCCACAACTGGTGCCAAAGTTTTATAGGCTAGAAACCCAGGTACAATAATGTCAAAGTCTT